ATGCTTAATGATGCAGGTTGAATTAACAAACGCGCCGCATCTTTCGAAATATTTTGATAAAAATAGCAAAGATACACAACAATTACTGATATCTCATTATATATGTGGAGGTAATAACAACAACTGGTGGAGGTAATTAAGTTTAGTTCGTAAGTAACCGAATGTTTTTTGTCCTACAATAGCGTGTTTCTCAAGCTTTGCATTCCGTTCATGCCATTTACGTGAGGCGAAATCAAACTGGTGAACAGGCAAGTAGAGAGATTGAAACTCTTTTCACAATTCAAGCTGTTTGCATTGCAAACCGTTTGTATCATGTCCATGTTTTTACGCATCTTCTACATTCTTATTTTAGTGGAGGCAATCACAGTTGTTGAGTATCATCAGCACACCGGCAACGATGCTGGAACCAGCTCAAAGTGAAGTTGTAAGCAGGAAAACAACTTTTAATCATTTTGACTTCATGTGAAATAAGCCATTGTTACTCCATAATATGCCTTTCACGTATTGCGGAAATGGAGTTTCTCATTGAATTTTCACTGGAATAGGCTTCCAGTTTGACTCTTTCAAACACACCAGGTTTTCAGACAATCATTAGGGAGAAACGTGTATACAAAGCTGATAAATATTTGCATTCTTCATGGTTTAAATCTGCAATATTCATGTTCCTGTAGGTGGCTTGTGAATATCTACCACTGTCTGCAATGAATAAATGGATTTTGTGTAAGTCACAATATACTCAGATTGCATATTAACTGTGATATGAACTACTTGAAAAAGATGAAAAACACCTCAACATGTGAAGAGACGGCCTTCGCTCCAAACATCGAACCGAACCCCTACGTTTGAGATATATTTTTTAGATAGTTCAGAAACAAACCATGACAGCTTATTGTAGAATACTACCTATACGATACACTGAACCATGACGTTTGAGATATCATTTTAAGATAGTTCAGACACAAACTATGACAGCTTACTGTAGAATACTACTTACACTGGACCACCGCTTTTGAGATATATTTTTCAGGTAGTTCAGACACAAACCACGACAGCTTATTGTAGAATACTATACCTACACTGGACCACCACGTTTGAGATATCTTTTTCAGGTAGTTCAGACACAAACAACGACAGCTTATTGTAGAATACTACCTGCACTGGACCACCACGTTTGAGATACATTACTTTTTTCAGGTAAGTTCAGACACAAACCACGGCAGGTTATTGTAGAATACTACCTACACTGGACCACCACGTTTGAGATATCTTTTTCAGGTAGTTCAGACACAAACCACGACAGCGTATTGTAGAATACTACCTACACTGGACCACCACGTTTGAGATATCTTTCTCAGGTAGTTCAGACACAAACCACGGCAGCTTATTGTAGAATAATATACCTACACTGGACCACAAACCACGGCAGGTAATTGTAGAACACTACCTACACTGGACCACCCCCTTGATATGTAAAAAACATCTAATTGATGTCGAATGAAACTATTTCTCTTGCCAGTTTGTTACTGCCTCTGTTACAATCAC